TATATATATATATTTATATATATATATATATATATATATATATATTTATATATATATATATATATATATATATATATATATATATATATATATATATATATATATATATATGTGCATATGTATATATATATATATATATATATACATATATATATATATATATATATATATATATATATATATATATATATATATATATATACACATATATACGTGTGTGTGTATATTTAAAACAAAACAACAGTAATTACAGTAGTACTTACTAAAAATCGGAAACACTAGCGCTCTGTACCTGCTATATAGTCGCCTTCAATATCGTAATAGTAATCGTCTCCTTTCTCAATGTGTTCAATCTGCACGGTAGGCGTTGTTCCTATGATCATGTTCCTCACAAAATAGGGAACACCTGAGGACATGGTAAGAAGGATAGAGAGCGATAAAGTAAGGATGAATGCGTCTGTAAAAAAAAAAAGAAAGGATGAGGGGAGAAGGAAAGGAAAGGGGAAGCGGAAATGAACAGGATAGAATAGAAGTATAGAACAGAATGGGGAGGACGAAGCTGAGAAGCAGAGAAGAACGAGAGTGAGAAGTGGAGATATGATTAAAAGGAAATGGGAATAAAGGGAAATTACGGGCGAAAGAGAAAGAAAAGGATGTGAAGATGTAGAGAAAACAGCAATGAAAGAGATCAATACGAAAATGGAAAATTAATAATAGTAAAAAAATAATAAAACCTATTGATAGGAGATATTACAGATAATCGATGGCTGCGTGGAATACAACATACTTGAAGATATTTAAATAAGTAGATAAAAAAGAAGGTAGAAGGAAAATTCAAAAATATTAATAAAGCGATAGGGAAAGGGAAACTAAAGAGGACTTCTTTTAACAAAACCATTCATGGAAGTTAGTCCTCACCGACAGCGATTAAAAGTGTTTCGAAGTTCTCGTCCTTGAAGTGTTCGAACGTTCCTTCCACGACTTCCCAGTCAGGTTGAATCATGACCCTGACTTTGACACCTTCCGACGGCGAAGTGTCATTGAGGTTCAGAGTCAAGTTTTCATTTACAAATCCACTCAGCCAAGCGTCATCGAAGTCATTAGCCAGGAATAAGGATGCATTGCTACAATAGAGATAAAGAATACATGAAAAAAAGAGAAAAAAAATCAGACCGTATTTCCAGTGTTTTCGAATGAATGCTTATTCTCGAATAAATAATTTTTCGTGAAATGAACATAAACTCTCGTTCACTCAAAATGATGATCATCACTACTTCTCTTCTCGTTAAGTAAGACATTAATAACTCAAATAAGAAATAGCATTCGTCGTTATGATAAATGGCAATACGAGGAGAGGAAATAACTTTCGCCATTACAATGCCAGGTAAAACATTGATCCTACTAAACCCTTAACTGCAATTTTGACCTATTACCGTCTAGGGAATCGGTACAGTCGCAGACAACGGTCGTGTTTCGTGAATGAAGCTTCGAAACTCTCCGAACCGAAATACCAAAGATCACATTGTTTTGGTGTTCAAATGCCTCATAAGAGTTTTGAGCGTGACTGTACTGTCCCAGCTGTTGATACCTCTGTACTGTGTACTTGTTTATCCATCTGCTTACTTACTTACTTATGTGTATTTTTGTGGATTCATCTATTTATTTGATTATTTATTTACCGATTTCTTTATTTCCTCACTTATTCAAATATCTGCTTTTCCATCTATCTATTTAATTATTCCTAAATGGAAGAGGGTAAATCCCCCTCTCCTCCAGTATGCATGACCTTGCATGATACATTTTCTTTCTTATGAGACCAAAGTTTACCTAGTCTCTGATTTCCTGATTTCCCAGAGACAGACTAACCTGAGCGTGGCATTGAGGAGAAGTGCGTCCCGTCTCTCCATTTCTTGATAGATAGCATTCATCATGATTATCAGGAAGACGATGATGATGGTGAACACTATCATCCTGACGGGCTTGATTTAGCTGCAATGACAATGTGTTTGGATAGTGTGTTACCACAGTGTGATTGCCTTGGCGGGACTCCAGACCCGAGTGTAATAACATAATTAATAACTAATAATTTAGCTTTATTCCATTTTTTCCGGTGATTACTCTTGCTGTCTGTTTCATTCTACTTCTAAATTACTCTCTGCGTACAAGGAATGACCAGGGATACCATCCACTGCCGGCGGATGTCAGCAAGATTACCAGACGACGTCATTACCGCTGAACCACAGAGAACACAGGTGTTGTGTTTGTTGTATTGTGTTAATGTTTTTTTTCTTCATGTCAATCACTTTTTAGAGATAGAGTTGACAATGAAACTGGTACTTTGAGGAGGAAAAATTAGATGCAAAATCAAAAGAAAATCGAGTGAATAGCTACCACACGTAAGAAAATTGTACTATATGGCGAGAGAGAGAGAGAGAGAGAGAGAGAGAGAGAGAGAGAGAGAGAGAGAGAGAGAGAGAGAGAGAGAGAGAGAGAGAGAATCCACCTAACTATTAAAACTTGAGAGCTTTTGAACCCCTCCTGACATGAGCATGGGTGCAGGGTGTCATGACAGTGCCATTCTTTGAAATGCCAAAATTCTCTAACACATTCGAATTCCTCTAGATATATTTTAGACATCAGAATTCTTCATACGGATTTGTATATATATTGTATATATACACATTCCACTTAACTTGTATATAAATGAAATGCTTGGATGTTATAGGATCCGATTTAAATACATGGCAACAACTACTGTGAGTACATACCTCTCATAAGATATACATAGAGATAAGCAAAAGACTAAGGCATGTAGTGGCACTCTCCATGGTGAGACATTTAGAACTCTTGGCAACGTTTAGACTTTTGAACCCACGGGCATTTAGAACTTTTGACAACATTTAAACTTTTGAACCCACGGGCATTTAGAACTTTTGACAACATTTAAACTTTTGAACCCCAGGCATTTAGAACTTTTGACAACATTTAGACTTTTGAATCCCAGGCATTTAGAACTTTTGAGAACATTTAGACTTTTGAACCCTCAGACATTGAGAACTTTTGACATTTAGACTTTCTTTAGACTCATGCTTAAAAGGATTGTAGTGACAGAGGTTTGATATTCAATATGTAATTTTTGGTTTCCGTATATTGTAATACTGGTTCTATATTAGATTTTACTGTCCAGGTTTTATATCTTGCGACTATGCCAAAAACAAACAAAAAAACACACAAACAAACAAACAAACAAAAAAACACGATGACGACAACAACAAAACAGAATCTGATTTTTGAAAAATCGTTTTTCATGATCTAGGAATAAAAGTAAAAAAAATTACATTCATTCTCATACGTATGACCCAAAGTGAGAATTTTCACATGGTAGTTGGCTAACGCACATACAAACGTACACATAATGCAAACGTACACGATCACACTCACGGATGAGCGCACAACACACACCGGACACACACACAAAAAAAAGAAAGAAAAAAACACTCACAAACACACACACACACACACACACACACACACACACACACACACACACACACACACACACACACACATACACACACTCACACTCACTCATATTTGTAATATTTATGAACAATATTATCTCATTCGTATCCACTATAATTATCTTGTTTACTCTTAACACTAGAATTCGTTCATAATAGATATTCTTCTACAGGAAGGAAAAGGGATGAAATAAAAATTGATAAATACAGAAAACTTACAAAATTATAAAAGAAAATATCAAGCAAGTAGAGTAAGAAAACACGGGGGCAAAAAGAAGAAAAAAATAAAAGGTGAGAAAAGAGAAAAAGGAATAAAGCGAAGAAGGAAATAAAATTACAAAGAGAATGAAAGCGAAAGAGGAAAAATTAATAAAGGAAGAAAGCGAAGGATGAAATAAGATAAAAGAAAAGAAAACGAAAAAGGAATGAAACACAAACAAAGATTAGAAAAGCAAGAAGGGAAGGAAAAAAGAACAAGAAACCGAATGAAGAATGAAAATAAAGAAAAAAAACGAAAGGGGAAAGAAAACATAAAAAGGAAAAATGAACGAAAAAGTAAAAATAACCAAAAATAAGAAAATAAAAATAAACAAAAATAAGAAAATAAAAATAAACAAAAATAAGAAAATAAAAATAAACAAAAATAAGAAAATAAAAACAAACAAAAATAAGAAAATAAAAATAAACAAAAATAAGAAAATAAAAATAAACAAAAATAAGAAAATAAAAATAAACAAAAACAAGAAAATAAAAATAAACAAAAATAAGAAAATAAAAATAAACAAAAATAAGAAAATAAAAATAAAAAAAATTAAGAAAATAAAAATAAACAAAAATAAGAAAATAAAAATAAACAAAAATAAGAAAGTAACAACATGAAAATAATCAGCATACACCGACGATGACGTAAATACAACCGACGAGTTAAGAAACCAGCCAAGCAAAGGAAAAAATAACAACAAAAACTAAAATTATGGTTTAACGTACGTACCGACACCTTATCTTATCTCGCTTGACTGATGACGTCCTGATGATGTCTTGATGTCTTAGTGACGTCTTGAGATACTCTCGTCGTTTTCCTGACATGAAAATACTTTGATAATCGTCTTTCATGTTTATGTATTTCAGAAGTTGAAAATATATCTCAAATTATCTAATCTATATGTAAGACGCACGAGAACGAGAGAGAGAGATAAATAGATAGAGAAAGAGAGAGAGAGAGAGAGAGAGAGAGAGAGAGAGAGAGAGAGAGAGAAAGAGAATGATAAGAATATATATATATATAAACGTATATACACACACACACACACACACACACACACACACACACACACACATACACACACACACACACACACACACATATATATATATATATATATATATATATATATATATATATATATGTATATATATATATATATATATATATATATATATATATATATATATATATATATATGTATATATATATATATATATATATATATATATATATATATATATATATATATATATATATATATATATATATATATATATGTATATATATATATATATATATATATATATATATATATATATATATATATATATATATATAAAGAGAGAGAAAGAGATGATAAGAAAGAGAGAGAGAGAGGGGGGGGGGATATAATAAGAAAGATATATGTGTATGTATATATATGTATATATATATATATATATATATATATATATATATATATATATATATATATATATATATATGTATATATATATATGTATATATATATGTATGTATATATATATATGTATATATATATATATGTTTATATATATATATATATATACATATATATATATATATATATATATATATATATATATATATATATATATATATAGAGAGAGAGAGAGAGAGAGAGAGAGAGAGAGAGAGAGAGAGAGAGAGAGAGAGAGAGAGAGAGAGAGAAGAGAGAGAGAGAGAGAGAGAGAGAGAGAGAGAGAGAATGAGAAACATACTATTAGAGAGAGAGAAAGGGAGAGAGCGAGCGATAATTTCCTGAATCCAACAACCTTTTCCACGTGGCTACCCTCCCCCTCCCCCCACCCCGCCTCCACACGACACTCCAATGCCATTTACGTTGATACAAACTGGGTCGCAGGGAAGATTAACCTTATCGTGAAAGATAACGTACAGTCGGAACGTTTTATATACTTTTACATCTTACGTTTGTCTTGAGTGTTTGTGAGTATATCGTACGTTCTTAAAATGCTTTCCATAATGTGGGTTCCCCCCCCCCCCCTTCTCTCTCTCTCTCTCTCTCTTCTCTCTCTCTCTCTCTTTTTCTCCTCTCTCTCTCTCTTTCTCGCCACTCTCTCTCTCTTTCTCTCCACTCTCACTCTCTCTCTCTCTCTTCCCCTCTCTCTCTCTCTCCTCTCTCCTCTCTCTCTCTCTTTCTCTCTCTCTCTCTCCCCTCTCTCTCCTCTCTCTCTCCTCTCTCTCTCTCTCTCTCTCTCTCTATCTATCTATCTCTCCTCTCTCTCTCTCTATCACACACACACATGTATATATATGTGTCTGTGTGTATGTATGTACATGAATATATATGTGTGCGTGTGTATATATGATACAGATACAGATACACAATCTATATAAAACCCTACCTGTCTGCGCTATACACACCCCGCTTCCAGTTACTCGGAGCACCTAGTGATGCTCGCCACAGCCTTCGTTGTCTCACAATCCACAGGGAGATAACAACACGTGACTGCCCACCTGTGCCGTTGTCATGGCGACGAGTGAGACGTTTCATAAGTTCAAGTCTTATCATGAATAGCAACCTGACCAGGACTCCAACTTCGCTATCTTTGCTCTACTGTGAGTAGACAGGTAATGTTTATGGAGCTTGTTAGATCCTAGTTGATATTTCTTTTACTGTGTCGTGTACTATGGTTGGTTTAGTACTGGTCCTCCGGATCATACCTGGAGCCGAGGTTCGAGTCCTGGTCGCGAAGGGTTATTATATATCGATATTAATGTGGTATTGCATTATTCCATTTTTCATAAATATGCCTCAGTCATCTGACTTAGGATTTGAATTGCTAAATCAGTTTCCACCGATTGCCAACGGGGAGTGCGTGTAAAACCTCGCCATCGTTATTCTAGCATGAGTATGTAGGCAATGTCTATGGAGCTAGTGAGATCCTAGTTACACATTCCTTTAGTGGGTCATGTGGTAATACTTGGTTTAGCACTGGTCCTCCGGTTCATAAATGGAGTGACCTAAGTACGAGCCCTGGTCAGGGAGTTTTGTTATTTATCGATATCAATGCGGCATTGCATTATTCCATCTTTCAGGACTTATCATTCGTTCCGATCTACCGACATCCTGAAATTTCGTTCAGACCTCTTAGGGTGCTCTTAGGATGTTCTGAGCTTACGGTCAGATTTTAGGATATATCCTGAGCTTTCGAACAGACAGGGCTACTCAACTATTATGAGCAAAGGTTCAAATTCCAATAAATGCAGAGGTCTGGATAAATATTTTTCATGCAATCATGAAAATAAAACCACCAATCTGATTACTCCACAGTGTTCCCATATAATTTTGATTCATTTCATACAAACTTGGGGAAATACACTTTCAAAATTAAAGGACCTTTGATTTTTTTAATTATGTTTTTTTTTTTCGTCTTGGAGCTCGGGGTTCCGCTATAACGTTCAGAAAGTCCAGATTCAGATAACGGGCCGCCAGTTGAGTAGCCTTGCCGTAAGATATCCTGAAGGCTCATTCGATTGCTTATCCTGTGCCTTCGTGTCTTATTGCAGACACTGGTATGTTTCAATAAGCATTAAAAACCCTTGGTTCTTAGCACAGTGGGACGAGGACTCATAACTTGCAAGTTAACTAATCCAGATAATTTTAGTATTCTGCAGAAAGATTCTTTTTTTACTATTTAGAACAGCAGTGTGAAGAATGTGGACAGAGTATTC